GAAGAGGAAGTGGGAGGGGTAGGGGAAAGGAAAGAAGGGAATGGAATTAATATGAGAAAATGAAAAAATGGAATCAAATCTTTGTAAATTGGGAGGGATGGAGGGATTGAAGGGAGGGTGGGGGAAGGGAGAGAAAAAGAAAGAGGGAGAGGGAAGAAGGAGGGAAAAAAGGAGGAGAAATGGAAGGAAAGAAGGGGAAGGGAAGGGAACAGAAGGGAAGGGAAGGGAAGGGAAAATATAGATCTACGAACTCTAAGAGATAACACAATTAAAGTCTTAATAAATGATGTAAAGAGAAACCCTCACCTGAGATATTGAAGTACCAAAAAGAATGAGACTTGAAATACACATGTAGAGATTTACTAACTTGTGATTGCATGAGATAATAATGCATTCATACATACATTATTCACCCATTGTATGTTACTTTGTATGTTACTTGTTCAAACCTTTCAATATAAATAAACCTAACAGAATCTGTTAAATGTAGTATGGTTGTGTGAGATTAGGAAAGTCATTAATGAGGCAGATTTTTTAGTGATTTGAAGATGAACTGCCTTGTTAAGCAAGCTCCCCCCCCCTTTTTGTTCCTTTGCTGTTTATTGCCATGGAAAAGAGAATACCAATATATAAAAACTTCATTACAAATACACTATTGACTTTTTCTGTGTCAAAATCAACTGAGGTTTGAAACTTGCTGGTTATTTGAACTGACACCTAAATCAATACAAATTTGTTTAAATTTTTTAAATGATACAAACAAACAATTTTACTCTAGATTTTAAAAACTGACCTGCAGATTTATCTTGAGAATTACCTCTGAGGCAAATACATAATAAACATTCATTTGTGGTTTTTCTTTCCCATCCATCTTGCCACCCCCAAAAAAGCATATTATAAAACAAATCGCACAAGTTCTTAGAAATAAGTTTCTGTTTTAGCAAAAAAATGCTTGACTATCCTTTAAAAATTATTTGCATTTTCTTGTTAGCAGATATAACTAATCTTTTGCTAAATGTTAGTAATTTCTATTTTAGGGGAAAAGGGGTTTCCTGCTTTAAAAAAAAAAACTAATCAGTTATTGTTTAGTTTTTACCTGTGTAAGAGCATTAGAATCTCATTAGAAATTGACTGATTAAAGACAGAGCATCATTCATCTTAGGAACACAAGTGTTTGAAATGAGGAAAAATATTGTCAAAATTCTCTCCCTCCACAATTATAGCCTTTTACATTTACTATTGTCTGTTGTTTAAAATAAAGGGTTTTTGTTTTTGTTTTGTCATTTGGGTACGGGGGAAAGCCATAGGATAGTTTTTCCATTAGAACACATTTATTTAAAACAAATATTAAAAACTTAAGTCCATCTAAAAAGAAGTGAGGATGATATCTCACTTCATTTGCAATAGAGTGGCGTGCAAGTACACCTGAAAATGCAAGTTACACAGCAATAGTTCCACAGACTTTATTCCTAGAAAAGGTATGCCCACTGCCATATGAAGAGTGAAAACTAAAATCACATTTTATGTTAGTGGTATCAACTACTTAAAAACATTTATATATTGTCACTTGAGGAGAAAGAAGATCATTTAAACAAGTGGACTCTATGAGGGACTGGGCGTTGGGGAGACAGCTAAAATTAAAGTAATTCAAATGTATATAAATATTTAAGTGTGGTACATTCACCACTGATGATACTAATCACTGAATCACAAAGGTTATTTAACAAGTCTCTAGTTCTTAAGATGATTTATCCCAATACCCGAAATGATAATATTCTCTTTTGAAATCAGGCAAAAAGGTAAAAAACATAATTGAATGTAGGCTTTCCACACAGTAGTTATGAGTTGCTTGAAAGACTGGAGTTCTAAAATTTATTTTGATTTTCTTAAACTCACTCACTTGTGACCAATCTCATGCGCAATGGTAAAAGCTGAACCCAAGCCAATGTCTTCATTAATGCTGCAGCTCCTTTCAGGTTCACACATTCCAGCTACAGAGGCCAAGCCTGAATAAACAGAAAGAGACACAAAGGGTCAAGCCAAGGTGTTTCAGTCTTAAAAAGCCCATACTTAAATGCCTGGATTCTTTTTAATAACCTCCATGCACAGAAGGAGCAGCTGGCAAAAGGTTAACTTTCTAGTCATTTGCAAAATCACTAGGGGGAATTTCACTTTGCCGGCTAGACATTAATATTTTTTGAACTGCAGTCAGTGCTGGAAAATGTCTAGACTAGGGGTTAGATTTATAAATTTTACTTCTGGTAACTTGGGACCACCTAGTAACTTGAGCCAGAAGAGGGAATTCAAGACAGCATTTCTATTTTAACATTCTTCAGGCTGTAGAAAGCAAAATATATCCACATTATTTTTCTAAAGAGATCTGTTTAAGTTTAGTGGGTTCATAAAAATATACAAGTAACCTTTTAGTTATCAAAAAGGGGGAATCCCAAATGGTTTTTTTAAGTGACATTTTTATAAAAACAAAATGAATGATTCAAAAGAGAAAAAGGAGAACTGAAAGATGGGAGGTTTTTGCATTTTTTAATCTTCTCAAATTGGTCCTGATTGATGCAACAATTTCTTTTACTCTTTTAATGTCATGCACACATTCAGTGTAGTTTCCCCATCTCTCATCCCCATTCAATGCATTAGAGTTTTACCAATAAAGCAAAAACTATGGTGTTAATTTGCTGATTCTAGTGAAATGTTATATTACTAGACATATTCTTCTCTTGGGAATTGTAGTATGTAAATCTTTAATATTTAATTCCAAATGAATATCATGCTCTGTTAATCAATATAGAACTTTAAAACAGTGCTTACAAAAAAGGATTTTTGTGAAAAAGAAAAAGCCACCTCTTATAAGGAAATAAATGCCAGATCATATTTATCACAAACACAGAAATAATGTTATTTAGAAGTTTGAAGAAAAGAAGGAAAAATATTTTATATGTTAGTAGTCTACTATTATCACTCAAAAATTAACAATAACCTTCTTACTAAAAGTTATTTTAATTCAATTCATGAATATTTACTAAGTGTAATAAGCAATATTCTGTGCTAGGTACAATTTCCCTCTTACACTGATTGTAAATGGGAACAATATTCAATCCATAATTTTCACAATCAAGAAAGCTCCAGAAATTGTCTTTCTCTGTATTTTCTCATATAAATATCAAGATAATAGCTATACTGGAACAGAGTTGAGGTTTGTGCAGGAATGCTAATAATTTGCTTTCCCACTATTTTATATGGGGGAAAGCCATAGGATAGTTTTTCCACTGGCACACATTTATTTAAAACAAATATTAAAAACTTAGGTCTTTCTAAAGAGACGTGAAGATCTCTCACTATATTTGTACTATTTTACTTGGGATGAGTATGAATTGGGAAGAGAAGTGATTTATGCCTCAGCGTGGTTATAAAGACTGATGACACTTTGGTGCTGCTCTTCCATTCACTTAGAGGACTTGGGACTTAAAAAAGAAGATATAAATAGAGGGACCAGTTGTGGAAAAATGAATTAATTTTTGGCTAATCAAAAATATTCAATAGATCACTTCCAATCTGCATGCACGTGTGCACACACATGCATGCACATAGAGTATCCAAAAAAAATTATACGTTATCTGTCTTTAAGCTATTGGATTCAATGTGCCCTGTCATCAAGAAAGAACAAAGTCACAGTGATAGCTATTTCCAATTTGATCCGATGTAGTTTTTTTAAAAAAGGAATTGGTAACATTCCTTAAATTTCTCAAATACATTATTCCATGAGTTAGCTTTTTGATTTTGTTGTTTCTGTGTGTTTTTTTTGTTGTTGTTGTTTTGTTTTGTTCTTTGGGTTTTTTGATATGTGCCACATTGCTGTATTTTCAACTGAGAATTTTCAATGGCTCCCTCAGATGTATTTGCAAGCACAAATTTACTTCTGATTACTGGTATAAAATTGTTAGCTCTTCTAAAAAAAATAACTACTGAAAGAATATATTTGGAAAATACTACTTGTTGAAACATAAAGGTAAATCTTAGCCAAAATGAGAGTATTTTAAACACTAATGTATTTTCACAAGCTCCCATCATTTTCTGGTTCCCTATTAAATTGAAGCTGTCAAAGTTCTTATGTGTGACTGTGTTAATAAGGGTTTGATTATTATTTAGGTCATTTAGATTTCCTTAGTTTGATGGCCACAGTTTGCACCCTTAAGCCTACTTAGCTATATTATGATTGGTCATCAGAATTAATAAGCTAGAGAATTTGCAAAATCAGCATAAAAACTAATAGGAAAGTACTAGAAAAGTAATAAAATTAAATTTAATTAAAATTAAATTATTAAAAATAACAACCTGTTTGATTCTGTACTGATAATATGTTTTCCACAGATGAAGCTCAACACATGTATATATATGCAGTTCATTCAGTTTTCACTATAAGAGATAGTACAAAAAATAATATATAATGGCTTATAATTTGAAAAATAATTTATATTGAGCTTGAAAATGCATTTACATGTACCTATTAATGTATTAATTCTAGAAATTAATACATTATTAAGGTTGAAACACATTATTTTGAAAAAACAGAAGTATGACAGGAAAATACCTCAAACCTTTGACAATAATGACAACAAAAATACGAAGGAGTAGTATTACTAACATCACAATGAAAACATTTTTCAATGTAAGTATCTTCAAAGAATATATGTATATATTCTATATATAATATATAGAGATATACACATACATATGTACTTATTTCCTCAAAATATATATACTAGAACAATACAAGTTCTAGATTATGTGTGTTATCACTTGGAGGCTTAGTGTTTACTGTTTCTAAAATGATTTAAACAATATCCGTGGAGCAAAAGGGTAGATACTACTCTAGCTTCATAGAGAAGAAAACTAAGGCACAAAGACCTTAAATAAAGTGTAAAAGGCAATGTACTGAAAGTGTCAAAGCCAGTTAGTTTCTAGTTTTGGGTTATATCCATTGGTCTTGTTAACTTAAAATGTTACAAAGAAAATCTTTTTGATGTGAATTCTCTCAACAAAGAGTGCACTCCCTGTGTTATATATTTTAACTAGCAAACTTCTCCACCATTAATACTCAGAATTGGCTAACTGAGATTTCTTCTTTAGCTATAAATCTTGAGGAAAATGGGGTAGCAGAAGCCTGGAAAAGCAGGTGAAATCTTCCAGAGAAATTCCAGCATTTGAATAAGATGTTTTTCTGAACTCTAGAAGTTGGGTAGTACTCCTCCTACAACCACTTTACTTGTATATTTCTAAAATGCGTAGGCTGGGCATAGGAATTAATTTCATAACTATTCTTATACAGATAAGAAAATCAAGACTTGTAATAGAGAAACTAGAGAAATTAATCTTTAATTGTTTAACTTCCAAGTGTGTAAAAAGTCTCTTAAAAAGTTGTCACAGGAGGGCCAGGGATGTAGTTCAGTGGCTCAGCACCTGCCTGGCAAGTGCAAGGTCCTGAGTTCGATTCCCAGTATCGCAAAAAAAACACCTGCTCCTTGAAATAACACTAGTCGTTTAGACTACTAAAAACTACCGTCCCCTACCATTTATATTTGCAGTCAACTTTCAACTAATATGAAATTGTACTCTGTAAAAAAATGTGATTTTTAAAATTCTAGAGTACTCTAAATGCATTTCAAAAGGCGAATGATATTCAGGTAAAACAATACCTGTATTCTCTCACCACCTCTGACTACACTGTTTTACAAAAATGCTTTTTATTTTTTGTTTGGGTTCTAAATATTTCCAATATCTTAAAGTATGGGAATATACTCTTTCTACAAAATTATACCAAAAGAAGTATTGTTCTTCATGCCTTTCTTTATTGCAAAATTTTCCCAGCCTAAAATTTCAAGCTGCTTGCTGTCATCATTTGCTCCGAAACTCCTTGATAGTTTTAGATAATACATTACAGAAATAGATTATATAAAATGAGTGGTAACTTTAATTTATAATTATTACTTGATCATTTTGAATCACCTAAATTCTTTATAATCATCATTCCTTTTGCCAAAGAGGAAAAGGCTAATTAAATCTACATAAACTTTTACAGAAGTAAATATTTATTTTCTAGTGCATGACATAACCACAAAGGTCAGGTTCAGTTTAATAAGTCTTAGGGGTAATTTTAGATGTACCAAAAAAGAAAATGACCAAAATAATAAAGAGTAAGTCACTGGTCCGAAAAGACAATCTGAACTACCCTCCCTTTATTCAAAAACACTTACCCAGTGTTCCACAGGGCTTATTTTTATAAGTGCAGATATCATATCTGTGGAGGAAAAACAGAGGGAGATGAAATTTATAATCTGATCAAATTTGTAAAATAATTTTTGTATAGTCAATCACATTTTTTTCTTGGACATCTGGCTGTCTGACCACAATCAATGAAATTACTAGCAGCCAGCTTGGAGTGTCAGCGTTTTCAGCACTCCGGGGAACATGGAAAGCTGCACTACACTCTCAGCCACTGGCTGCAAGCCAATAGGATACCTGCCAGTAAGAAAGAAAGGTTTAAGTGGGGTTTGCAATCAAAAGTTCCATAAAATCATCTTCCATACTGTTTTGAAGCTAGAATAGTTTGTCTGCAGATTGCTACTGCTTCTACACTTAGAAAATGGGTGGCTTTTAATTCCAATCTCTTTTTAGCCTGCTATAGTATTTTCTTATTGTAGCCTAAAACTGTATTTTATTCTGCTGAACTATAAGCATTATTTGGAATTCCTTAATTCTAACACAGATTCTTGCTTTTAAAAGACAATGTAATATAGCCCGGGGATTAAATTCATATTGCATATATTTCTTAGATGTATACAAGAAATTTAACATGGTTAAAATATAAATATGTTAAGTGATATTAGAAAAAATGAATTGCTCAATAGAAAGATTTTCCAATGTTGATCTGACTTATTCTACTACTATACTGCATTACAACACAATACAAATGATTGAGTATATACGCTAATATTGCATATTTTAAAACATATTATGTTTAGACTGCTAAGTCAAAATTGTATGTTTATTTGAATCATCATCATAATGATATCTTTGTACTTTAATTTTTAAAACAAAAAATTTAGTTTCTAAATTAAGAATAAAAATTAAATTTAGAAGACAAAGTTTTTACTTGAGTATATTTTATGCTAGAAATAAAAAGATTTTCAGATAAATAAGTAAAGTTTCACAAATAACAGGAAAACCCAAATTGTAAGAGTTCTGTTTACTGTACATAAATAATGCTTAGCCAATAGTATTAGAGTAGGTGTTAGTAGTTAATTGTATTCTTAGTCATCAGGAGACAAAAATGTAATTTCAAGAAACAAATATAACAACCAGCCATGCCACCAGTGTTACTGAACTCATTAAAATACCTGGAGATTTCCTCTGCCTATTTTTAGAATTTCAAACTCTTTATCTTGTTTATTTTCCATTTATTTTCTTTTCCTTTTGCACAGCATTCTCTTCTGGCCATTCACATATTCATCTATTCTCTTGCAATTGATAAACCATGGGAATGCATTGTTTGGAATGCTCTTGGATGTAAAATGTTGAGAGAGAGAGAGCACTGGTATAGTACCAGAAAGTATAGTGTGGGTATTAGTCAACGTGTCTTGTGAATATAGTGTGTTATGCTTATTACATTACATAGACAATACTCATTCCAGCAAAATATGGACTAAGACTTTTCACAGTTAATGTTGATATAGATGCTTAAATAGACTCTATCTCCAAACCCTCAAATTCTGTATGTAACTTTTCTAAAATTTATCTGCCTAAGAATGTACTTGTAATGCATCAGTTTTCCTTTTCCTTTTCCCATATCTTGTTATGATACATTGCCCCCAAGTGTAGAAGCCTCCAGAAAATACAGCAAAGGGATAATTGAAGAAAGAATTGATCTTAGGAAATAATACTTTAGGAATAAAACAAGAAAAATTATATGGAAGGAAGCTTATTTCATTCTGGCAAGGTTTTGTATTTTTCTGCCAATCCTTCTATTTATAAATCTATCTATATATCTATCTCACAATTAGAATTAGTGGAATGGTTCTCGTTAAAGTGTATTAAAAAGTTCATTTAATCTAAAACATGAAGTCAGACTTGTCATTGACAGAAAGTCTGACCAGACTAGGTAGTTTGGCAATGAGGAATGATTTAGAAAATTAGCTCATATGATGAACATTTTTTCATGATTAAATGAGCTAACTAAGCAGATCCAAAGTTTTGACAAAAGTCACTTAATTATATAAACAATATACATTAACTATGGTCTCAGTGGGTACTTACGATAAAAGTATTTTAGATAATAAATTTAAAATGTGCCAAGTTACACAACATATTTACAAAATCATGTAACATGTCAATAAATCAAAAAATTAAAGACCACAGACAAATAAATTTTATTTCCAGCACATAACAGTCCTTTCTCATATTATTTAGTCTTGCTACAATAATGATGGAATATTATTTCATTCTATCACATTGCACTAAATTATGTCATAAAGTAAAAAAAATCAAACAAAAATGTAAGCTAAAAAACTTCAGACTAAGATAATTCAAATTGCATTTTTTTTTAGGTTTCCCCAATCCTTGGACATATTTATAAAATTCTCTACATTATATACAGGAAAAAACATGTAACTTCCTCATAGCATTTGTATTCTATTCACACTGCATCCTCCTACATTCTGTATTCAAAGAACAAGTATGTATATGTGCTTCCAAAGCGAGCACCAGAGAACAATTATAATCTATGTATTATCTCTCATGCCAAGCACACAAGAGCAACATGTTTACATTCATTCTTTCATACATGTATTTTCTAAGTACTGATATGCCCAGGCATGCTACCTTACACTAGGGATCTAAAGATGGATAAGTAAGTTGGTTGTACTCTATTTAGGAAAAGAAACAAGTAAATAAGTTAAAATATAATATGGAAAGATTAAGTGAAATAAATTTAAATGATATAACCAATATTTGTTAGCTTTTATAATGATGATTATTATAATTATCAATTTTTTCACAAAATACTTATAGAAGGAGTGATTCTACATAACTAGGAAACAGACTCGTGTAGATCATATAATCTGAAATAGGTATAAAGACTTAGTGTACATGCACCAAGTCCCTGTGAGGAATGTGATCATTATGTACTACAAATATACATTTTTTAAAATATATGTATTTATTTAGGAGAAAGGGACAAAAAGTTGCAGGAAGGGGAAAGGAGGGGACAGGAGGGGGATTTAAAAAGGAAATGAGAAATGTTATGCACATGTACCAACTTCCCATAATGAATATAATCATAATGTACTATAAACATGTACCAATAAAAAAAGATTTAGTCACATAAAAAAAGAAAAGTGATTCCAGGTGGAAAATAAAATATTTAAAGGAACAGTCTAGAAGAGGTATGGCATATACATGGAATCATGAGACATTCAAGAGGCTGAAACATCGAACGTTTAGAATGAAATGTTAGAAAATGAGTTTGAGATGGAACATATTATCATCTTAAATGCCAGAACAGATATTTTTTTTTGTAAGCAAAAGTAACTTAGAAAATCATTTCCATACTAGGAAACTTTTTTAAAAGTATGTTTATGTGACTATATACAGAGATTGAGTTTGCAATCAGATATAGATCTTGGAGGACAATAGTAGATATTTAAGGGAGAGGTTGGAGAATAGGGAGAATATGATTTTATTTTGTACATTACTGTATAACAAACATAATCCGAAAATGTTACAGATATGCTTGACTCTAATGATCAACAGAAGAGAAATTTGATAATTAGAATAATAAATTTTTGATGAATGTTAAAAATGCATTTTTTATTGAAGAAAAAATTTAGTGGTGTACCATGTCAGTCTATTAGACAAAATATTTGAGGTACAGCCCCATTTTGCATGAACACAGAAGAATCCAGAAAGCTTTTCAGGATGTACAATTAAATAAAGCACCTATGATTTGTCCTGTTTGGAGGATCATTGTGGCTGATGACAAATATGAAAATTTAAAAAAAACAATGTCCCTAAAACTAATTTCATGTATAAACTAAGTGCATTTTTCATGCAATGTTATCAGAGCACCTAAATAACAGAGACCTGAGATGTCATCAAGCTTATAAAATAAGGTGTATGAATTATTTTGTGACTTCTTTTGTACTTAATAAGTATTTATATGTGTAATGGAATTGGATCTAAAATTTCTCTTCATCATGATTGATAACAACCTTCATACACCATGCTCTAAGTGTTTGCCTAAGCGTGTTCACTTAGGTCAATTTTCAACAATAAAAATTTAATTTCTGATTGATGGAAGGAAAACATGACAGGATAGTAAGAAAAATAATTGGGCTGGGTGGGGATTTAGCTCAATGGCACCAAGCCTGCCTCACAAGCACAAGGTCCTGATTTTGATCCTCGGTACCATAAAAAAAAAGAAGAAGAAAAATAATTGATATATGGCTTTATCCACAATAATACCTGATTCTAATAGATTAATCTTCTTTATGTTATTTTTATAATTGTTTTCCTAGAATATATATTATAGAATAGATTGTAAGCAGAAGAAAGACTTCAGCTGTAGATTACAAACCTTATACCAGCTTATCCATGAATTACATAACAGAGAATGAAGTTGTATTTATATTATGAATTGGAAATGAGAAACCGAAAAATTTATTCAAGGTAAAATTCCTCAATTATATTAAATTTCACTTTAATATAGAATTGAATACATTTTTTTCATAACTTTATCACGTATGCTCACTCAATAGTGTTCTTGAACAAAAAAAAAGTTGTTTTCATAGATGAAAAGTAATCATTTCATAAATTTTTTAAAAATTAAATTGTTTTAATTTTTATTATTTTCACATTTTAAAAAATTACTATTCTCTCATATTTTAGCTTTTTAAATTTTTGTGGTTTACTTGGTTTTATTTACCTTTTTGCTAGTACATGTTTGCCATACATAATGATCACGAGTTGGTACATGTATATAACATGTCAATTCTTTTTAATTCCCCCTGCCTTCCCTTACTTTACACTCTCCTCCATTTCTAGAACTCTTTCCTATTTGTCAAAGATCTATCTCCCTAAAAAGAAAATTTATCTCCCTGTTTCCTATTATCTATCTTTTATTTTGCTATTTAAATTATTTTTTACTTTGGGTTTCTCATAAGCAAGAAGTCATGTGATATTTAAGCTTATATGTCATTTATTTCATTTAATACTATGGTCTCAACGTGTATCCATTTTTCTACC